CCTGCCGCTGTTCTTTGTTTCCATGGTTCTTCATGCCTCCACCCCCCAAACAGGTTTCTTTCAGCAGCTGAGCCGCCGATCGTCCGCAGATGTGCAGCGTTTGTTCAGCAGAGCGAGGGAAACTATGTTAAACAATTCAAGTGATCTGACCCAATCACCATGCTGTTCCACCGCCATCCTTCCCAACGTGGTAACTGAGTTCACTGAATACAAGTGTCAGAGTGTGTGCACGTGCTGGTTCATTCTGTCAAAGTCAACTTGACTTGGACTATTTGAGACATTCTATATACTCAAGGCTGCGACAAGAAGAAGCAGAAGTTGAGCGGTTGTCGGAAGAGGCAGAGCTAATAGGGCTCAACTTCAAGTATATATCATTCTTTGCTTTGACCAGCAAACTACCCGGCCAGTGCGCCAGTGTGTTCTTGGTGGTTGGCAGGTTCTTCAACATCAGTCAAGAATTCAACAGCAGGAGGAAGAGCTGCTTTCCTTGCGGAAGGACGACAAAGTCCATACTGGGAGTTTCGACGGAAGACGCTCACAGCAATATCCTCATAAAACACACCGACATGGTACTTGCTTGATCGACTATGACTTATTGCTTTGGTATGCAATAAGCAGATGTGTGAATCCAAACAATATTGCTGCAGAAAGAAACATTGATATTCCTCTCATCATACCATAGCTCATTTCAGCCAAGCAGAAGTGGACAAGCACATCCTGTGGCTCGCAGGATGCCTTTTGGTGGAGGTTGCTTGCGCACCAATCGAAGAAGCATGCACCTCATGCGGAATTTGCTGCTTGCATGTCATTGCTTCAATCAAAACCACATGGACTTAGGCTTGAGGAAGTGAGATGTGAAGACCTAGACTATGTGTTGGAGGCTATTCAGCACGGGGAGAACAGGGTGTACTGCTTGTCAGTTGTTTCTCCATCACCAACATCTTTGCTCTTCGCACATGCTTGCTCTTGTTCTCAGCCAACAGGTTGCAATACCTGGCATTGCTGATCTTCAAGCTGAATCACGAGTTGGCCCCTCAAGGGGGGCGACATCTGTCGCTCCAAAGACCCACCTCTGGTATCGTCTCAGGTGAGGGCGCGCAATGCCCGCGGCCAACTTCGTGATGAGCCGCCACCTTACAGTGTCCTTACAGTGTCTCCGGACCATAGCATTTGGCACAGAGCCTGCCGAGCAAGCGTGTGAATGATAAAGATGTAGCTGGTTCGGATCTCACATACTGACTGTAATTTTTCCGCAAACTCAGCAGCCCTTCGCAAAGCTTGCAAACTAATATTGGAAACCTCTCAAAGCTCTTACCTTTTCTTACAACTCAGGCTAGAGCAGCAGCTCTGTGCAGTCTGCAGGGATGCAAAGAAGGATTGGTCAGTTCTTTTTTACCCGTATGGGTCGTCCGTGGGTCGTCAACCTACACGACGTCGCCAGGCCGTTCTCTTCCTTCCATGCCAACATCTATGTGTCTGTGAAGGCCGGTTTGGACGGTCGGCTGGTCGAACTGTTCCAGCTTCTTCTTCGGGCAAAAAGTTGCTCGGCAGGTTGCAGGATCAAGCTTCGCCCATACCGGTGTCCAATGTGTCAGGCTTGCCGGGAAGAGTAGGTGATGTATAAGTCCGTATGAAGATGTTTGGACGGCCCACGTTTCTGGGTTTCACCTGCCTTTTTTCCTGCTGCCTGGCTCTTGTTTCAGGAACCTATCCAAACACACATCTCGCGGGTTCATTTTTAAACGTTTATCAGTGATGCGGCCGTAGGTCTAGGTCTGTCTCAAAGGCAGCCATTGCTGCTGTTACCAAATCTATTCAATTTTTTGCCACTGGAGCGTCCCTAAATTCAATTCGGTGCCGCTGGCCAGCAAGCGTTTCAATGCGAAACAGCGCCGTTGCATCCTGATTTGCCATTGGGGAGCTGCGATGATTGTTCTATCGATTGTAGATCACAAGATGCACACTCTAGTTTGGTATTTGTTGATGCAGTAAGCTCCTCAGGAGGCATATGTGCATAGAATAGCAACAGCCGTATTTACGTGAAGAAGCAAAAGGGCAGCATCGTCATAGACTTGCCACTTATTCTTGCCAAGAATGTTGATAGCTGCACGACACAAGATTGATCTGTAGCTATTGGATCAAATTCAGATAGATTTCCTGAGAGCAGCGGGGCCAGGCCGAACATGCTTTCTCCCAGCTTTGTCGCATGCAGTTGGGACTTTGATCAGCTTGATCTACTCGAAAGTGGCCTTTGCGTTACTCTAGACTCTACTTGCGCATGTTCGTTGGCTGAGGCAAGTGCCCGTCGACCGACATGGCTGAAGTTTGACCTGCTTGTTTTTGCATCGACTATTGTCCACTGTGGAGGGAGTTTGTCCAGGTCATCACTGCATCGAAGAACTTACAAGTACTCTTGTAGTTGACCCACAAGCAGATGATTTGATGACCTCCTTGTTTGCAAACTCGTTGCAACCTCTTGATTTGTGCTTTTGGCTTGCAGCACATCAGTCATCTCTATGTCCTTCACACGATGGCAGATCATTTGCTTATCAGTTTTCTTCATGTTCACACGAAGACTATTTCACAAGCTTGTGCAGACAGAGAAAACCAACAAAACTCTCCAATTCACTCGACTCTGCAATTCAACCGCAGACCGCAGGAGGTGTGACTGACCGGGGCTGGGCAAACGAAGGGGCTGGGGCAAACACAGTCGCCTTGGACTCTGGTCGCTCTCAGTCGCCTTGGACTGCTTCGCTCGCCGTCAGGTTGGACTCCATGGCAGCCGTCGCCTTGTCTCCGCCGATTGCCATCACGTCGGTCTCAGGAGTTGGACTCTCAGGACTTGGACATGTTGGACTCATTTGTGAAGCCAGATTGATCCACCACACTGGCAGGTGGGGCTCAGGTAAGCCTCTGGAGTCATTAAAGGAGAAAGAAAGGGCTTGTTGGACCTCGAAAAGTAGACCATTGCCCAGATCACCAGCTAATCCGGCTCGACAGAAGGTTCTCGGAATTTCTTGCAGTTAAGAGATGCGAATGCTTTGGTTATGGCTTTGGCAGGATACAATGAAAGCATGGCAGTGTGACGGCATTTGACCCTCAAGGTCTCAAGGTAGCAGATTTGTACAGTTTCTCCCCTGCTCTACCCTTGGAATAATTCTTGTCGCTCTGAATGGAAGAGGGCTCATCTCCGTCTTTGGAAGTGGTGGACTGTAAGGCAATTATTGAGGTTTTAACTGTGAAAGAAGTCAAACAGCTGCTGAAAGACTGGAATGTCGATGTCCGCGGTTGCATTGAGAAATCAGAGCTGGTCGATGCATTGGTGAAGCGGATTGTTGAAGACCCCAAAGCCACAGCATCACTCTTCAGCTACTGCCGTATTTGCTGCAGCTGGCGGTTGGACGATGATGTTTGGCCACTCACCTGTGGGCACTTGGCTTGCTTTGACTGTTTGGGCAGCCACCTTGAATCTCAGGTCCAACGCATGAAGGCTTCTCTCCAATACCGCTTGCCATGTATTTTTGCCCCAGCTTGCCAGCATGAGATCCGCTTTCAGGATGCCGCTGAGATGTCTGCTGCCCTTCGCAAGATTGGGAAAGATTTAAAGGATCGCGAGAGGTTGATCAAAGATGCAAAATTTGAGGTCTTAGAATGTCCTAAGCCAGACTGTGTTGGAGTCGCCTACTACGAGCGTGGTCGGCGCATGGCAATGTGTTTCATGTGCGAGCATACCTGGGAAGCCAATGCATCTGGTCGTGAAGAGGAGTGGGAGAAGCCTGGCTTCAACGGAGAAAGAGTTCGTAGGTGCCCCAAATGTCAATCACCAATCGAGAAGAATGGAGGCTGCAATCACATGACTTGTCGATGTGGACGTCACTTTGATTGGAGCTCCAGTCAGTCCGCCGGAGAACCGGCTGGACCTCGGAGAGAGACAAGAAACACCGAAGCCACGGGTGGTGACTTCGACGCGGGCGATGTCTTTCGCGGTCTCTTTGGAGGCTTTGGGAGCAATCGCTGGGAAGCCCATGTAGCTGACGCAGCCCATCAGGCTGGGTCCCAAAAACTCGTCTAGCCTAGCCCTTGTTTTTGCTGGACACTTCAAGTCCTTGAAGGGTCGACCGCCATGTCCCGATGTTTCGACTGAGAAGCCACAAAGGGGAGTTGGCTTCGACTGAGAAGAACGCACCAGATGTGCAGGTTTATTTGTTTGAATATTTTCTTCATTCAGTCTTTATACCTCATCTCTTGTTTGGGGGATCACTCTTCCAGGTCGCTTTGTTGGTGGTATGAAGGACACCAATAGAAAAAGTGTGTTGCGAAATGAGCATCGGTTGTTCAACACAAAGAAAGGGTTTGAGTCTAGACCTGAGCAAAGCCAACCTCACAATGGAATCTTGGCAAACTATAGACCAAAAAAGGTTTTGCTGCGCTATCATGCGCAAACATTGTTCCGTAGCATTTTTCCTTCTTTGCCTTTACGTGTCCTGCCAGGTATTTAACGTTGCAAGTCAAGCTGCTCATCATGCTGCACACCATGCTCAGCATGCCGCAGCACATGCACAGGCACATGCACAGGCTGCACAAGCAGCACAGGCAGCAAGTGCTGGTGTAGGCAGACCACCTCAGAGCGGGTTTGTGCCCAATCCCCCTCGAGAAACTCGAGAGGGGGGCACTGCGACTCAAGAATGTGCTGTGATGTAATAGACTTGGGGAGCTGAAACTCAGAGTTTTCAGCAGCTCGAGCTTTGAGAAACAGCTTTCCAGCAGCTGTTTTCGGTCTTGAGCTGTTTCTCTTGCCGAGGTCTTGAGCCTGCTGGAAGAGCAAGAAAACCAGCTGCAATGTGCTGCACTACAGCGATTGAATGAGGCCTAAAGTATATAGTTCTTTTGGCCTTGCCTTTTCAGCAACTGTGGAGCAATTCCTGTAGGGCTTTTTCATTCATACCCCGAGGCATTAAATTAATCTTTAGACGTTATGACCAATTGGATGGAGGGCAAATGTTTTTTCAGTGCTGCAGCGTCATGTGAGTCATGTCGAAATCCTGCAGGTGGTAGACCAGTTCTGGCACGAAATTGCAGACTACCTCAATGAAATAGAGACTTTGTACGAGGACATACTTTCAGCACTCCTCTTGAATCAAAATTGCTTCATTCGATGCAGTGCACCTTCGTAGCTCTCAAGGATCCGGCCTTCTCTGGTCGTGAAATGGCTGCCCTGGTGGCTTCCAAGGTCTTCTACCACTTAGAAGAGTGACCCGTCTCGACCGGTGGGGAGATTTTCTGCTTAGCGTGTCGGGTGGCGGCTTTCAGGTACGACGATGCCTTAAGATTGGCCTTGGGTGCAGGACGACATGACACGGAGTGACACGGTACCGTTTTTGCCTGGTGCCATCGCTACTAGGTTGGAGGCCGTCGCTACTAGGTTGGAGGCCATCGCTATTAGAATTGTTTCTCACGCCTGCGACCGAAGAAGTCGTAGAAACTGCAGGACAACTCTTCGATCTCTCACAGCGGACTGAATACGTGGCCAGGTGCTTAGGTCCTAGTGGCTATGATCTCTGTTTTGTTCTTAGGGGCCACAAGCGACCGAAGGCATCCAAGCCAGACCAGACCTACCCCAACCATTTTGGTTTGTTGGTCCCAGCTCCATTCTGTGTGTCATGCAGCAGAGTTGATTTCTCAACTTGATTACAACCTGCAAGGAGAAGATTGTGGCCGTGGCCATTGATGAATATGCAACTTGACCATTTACTGGAAGTACCTGTCCATCAAAGCCCTGTGCTTTGGCCTGTTGAGTCGACTTTGCTTGCGAACGGAGGTGAAGCTCCGAGCAGAGAATTTTGAGCTGGAGATGAAGAAGAAGGAGACTTGAGTCTCTTGAGCAGAAAAAGAACCAAACCCGGGCCTTTCAAACCTTTCCTCTAAAAAGATCAATTTCTTGATCTTTTCTTTGCAGCCGATTGACTCGACAGGATCCCGTGCCGATTGACTCCAGACTGGAGGATGTCGTGAACCGCATGTTCTTGCGCTGCCTGGAGGACCGTTGTGTCCAAACGGTCGCGGCATTCAAAGACGGCTCTAAGACGCTCAAAGACCACAGTGATCGATGAAGAGCTGATCACTTCCCAAGCTGCGTGGCGGGTCCTGGATTATTTCTTTTCCATGCTCTTCCATTTGGGATTGGATGTTAGGGATTTGCTGGAGTGATCCTTTCGTTGCCCGTGGTCCGTTGGACGGTGTCTTGGGGAGGACAAGGCCTTCAAGCAGGGTCTAGGGATGGCGCTGGAGACTCGCCGGATCGACAAGGCGGGCGGTTGCGGATGGCAAGCGGATGTGTGTCTCTCTAGACAGCCAAGGTTTCTACAGTGCAATAAGTATCGAAGCCCATGGAAGTCCCATGTTCTTGTCCATGCGAAGGAAGGACAACTCCTTCTTGTATTCGTGGTTTGCTTGCTTGACCTGCTTCATCAATCATCAAACATGTTTCAACCACCCTTTTGACCTGATGCTCATTCAGAGATACTCGGATCCTCCACAGGTGACCGAGTTCGTGATGAAAAGCGAGAACCTCTCTGAGATGCTCGAGCGAAGACCTGAGAGCAGCTGACAGGTGACAGCTTTACAAAGCATGCCGCTTGCTTTCTGGTCAAGGTATGCGCAGCTTAGTGCCATGACACTCCTGACTTCAAAAGCCTTTAGAGAGCGTGTTCTGCAGGTGGTGTCCTCAGCTCCCTTGTGTCTGCAAGGTTTGTTAAATAGATTCCGTTTGCCAGGCCCTCGTAGAGATCCACACCTCTGTGAAGGAGAGTCGATGTTTTGCACTTCTCACAAGTGCCCACCCAAGCGGGACATGCCATTTGCAGACCGCCAGGATGTAAATCTCAGTGCACTGGCACAGTGCTACTTCATCTTAGGAGAGCCAGAAGAGGCCAGAACTTGGATTCGATTGGGTGGCTGTTTTGAGTGCTTTCACACACACACAAGGTGGCAAAGATTCTGAAGGAGCTTCTTGCGAAGCCAGACAAGGACCTAATCATTGGATGTGTTGCGCACGCCCTTTTTTGACCTGTGAGATAGGAGCATGCAGAGGCATAGAAAAAGCGCCAACAATGAAATCAGTAAGATGTTCAGGGATCTTAACCATATCTATATTTGACGGTGACAAGCCTATGGCCGGCAGGCAAAAGAAGCGTTCCACGATTCCATGTGGACATTCCAGTGTGGAAATTTGAGAAGATGCCGCTGTTTGGGAATTTAGCATTGCTCGAATCTAGTAACACACCATGCAAGTGAAGGACGACACGGGTTCCGATCTGACAACAAGTTACCAGACATGGCTCACGACTGGTCATGGAACTAACGCTCAACGCTCGGCCCTTGTTCTTGACGTGGTCTGTTCGTCCCCAAAAGTGGTTGCTGTGGGGCCGAAAGACTTTGCTGCACCGGTCCCCAACTTGATGTTGTCGACGGTGAAGAGGGCTTTTGCAAAGTGGGTTATGAACTGAAGTTGGATGCTTTATTAAGCTTCTCACCAATAAAGTAGAAGACAAGTCCAGTGGAATCACAGTGTTGGACATTGCAGGACGGGCGCTTGCTGGCATGTCAGATTGGCTTTGATATTGTAAGACACTTACGCTGTGGACAAAACGTTGTGTCGACTTCATTGACTTCCATGCCTAGTCTAGCTTCGTGGGACCAAGGTGGACAATGAGAGCCAGCACTTCTGCAATGCCTTATTGTCCTCCCCGCTCCTGAAAATCAAGGACTTCACAGTTGAAAAACGCAGAGTCAATGAGACCACTTCAACCGCCTCAGTCTTGTGCAGCGCTCGCTGCGAGGAACCTCCTCCACCCCCTCCAGCACCTGTTGAAGCTGCAGAATCTTGGTGCAAGCACAACAATCAACATGACTTGCAGCATGGAAGTGTCCTCTCTTGCCCTGTAGAAAGCGCGTGCCCGCGTGCGCTAATTTTTCCCTTTTGCAGGCTTTTCTGCAATTTCATTTTCTTGTTGAAAACACACCTTGAGAGTAAGAAGCCAAGGAAGCTGCTGCAGCACCTGCAGAAGGTGCGCCCGCTGCCGACGCATCTGCTGAGCCTGCGCCAGCTGCACCAGCTGCACCAGCTGCAGAAGCACCTGCAGAGCCCGTGCCAGAAGAGGGCCCGGAGATGACAGATCAGGCCGGGCCCCAGATCAGTTGCACATTCTCATAAGACGTTTCTGGTCTTGGGTATGACTTGATCTTCTTTAAGCGGTGGAGTTGAACCTGCCAAACTTTTGAGCGGAAGTGGCAGCTTGCGGTTGCTCATGCTATGGTAGTAGACTGCGGCAGTACCAGTATTCAGTATTGCTTGTTGCCTTTAAAGACTGCAGCCAGGAAAAGGAGGACCTGACTCTGATTCGGAAGATCCTCTCCGGCCGATCCTCGATTGACTTGCCGAAGCCTCAAAAGACCCGAGGTGACGTGTTGTGTGAAGAGAAAGGAAGTCCATCCATTTTGCTTTGAAGCCTTTCTTGTTTTGGAAATCCTTCCGCCCGACACTTTTGGGGGGCCCGAAAGACTTGACCGGAAGACCAGGCAGATGGAATTCCTGTACCGGAACAACCGGTCCGTCGAGAACTCACTGTGCAACTTCAGAACCGTTACTTTTTTTTTGCGACATTCTTCATTTCTGAGGATCTCCTCCTTTTAGACACCATCAAGAATTCGATTGATACCAAGCGCCCCAGCCGCCATGCGCTAGTTTCTTGCACCGTTTGAAGTCTCTTCTTGCCCATTGCATCCGCGTTTCGTTTTTCAGGAACTCCATCACTCACAGTGGCACTGTCATGGCACATGGCCTGATGCAATGTGGAACCACGAGTGACGTGTTTCTTCGCACGGGGCCCAGCCGATCTCGCTCTCCCACGCCAACCCGAGCTGTTCTCACAAGCTGCCATGCGTTCGAGGCAAAAACCTGGAATGGCTGGCCAAGGCTTCCAACTGGGCCAAATTCAGCGCGACGGCCTCCTTAGGTGCGATGCCTCGCTAGCGATGGTGCGATGCCTCGTTAGTCCAATGATACTTCAGGTGTCATTCACAAGGGACACATCAAGGAATCAAGGCAGGCGCACTGGTTACCTGGAAAACAGTCATGTCATGTCCCTCGGGGAAGATGAAGATAAGCAGGTCAATCCTGAGCACATACCTGCCGCAACAAGGAGGCGTCGGATGGGCATATGTGTGTTTAGAATCAGAATGTGTTATTTTTTGTGTGCTTCTTTCATCTACCAATTTGCCACTCACGAGGCACCCGAAGCAGCCCATATTCTGAAGGTGGTGCACTCTATGGAATGGGCCATGTGCTGAGACATGCTGCGTTAGCCTTGCAGCTTGCGGCTTGTTGTGGTCGTGTCCTGTGACTAGGCCTGATTCATGCGAACCACTATGATCAAGAAACGAAGGCAGGTGAGAGAGGAGGATGTACAGACTTTGGATTGGCGTGGATGTACAATGGCTGGGTGGTTGGGTTCACTCTTGCATGTACAATCGAGGCCTATTTGTTGGAACAGTTGCACAACGCCCAGGCGACAGAGGCCAGTTTTTGCACGTGTTTCCACCAGCCTGCACCCCTTCGGCAAAGGCTTATATATGTATGTATATATATAAATACACAAGGGGATCCAACGCATCTCAAGTGAAACTAGAGTTTTGGGTACCAGATTTCGAACGCACATAGACAGAAAAGCTTCCCTGCCCATCATTTTAGCCTATTCTTTGGGCATTTACCTGCTCTGTGATTTCCAGATGATCATAACCTCAAGTGTTTTCACAGTATTTGCACAGGTCTTGCAACATGGTGCTTGTTTGGGCCTTGGCACAGCGCTCAGCCAAACCAACGGCCACGGACAGAAGCCGTTTGACGGCTGCCGTCATAGGCCCTTCATCGATCTGCTGCCGAAGCCGGTCGGGACGAGCCGTCAGGCCTTCTTTGCATGGCAACAGCCGATGAGCGAATCTATGATGAGCTCACACAGACTTTGCTGCATCCTTGGAGGGAATCCAAAAAAAGGCCCAGTCAGAACTTGAACGGCTCAAATCCCCAGTCGACCATTTTTGGCCAGTCCCTACATAAACCACCACTTGGGATTGGAGCCAAGAGTCCTGACGGGGATGTATTCCGTTGAACTGGTGGCAATATTCTGTTGAACTCCACAGGTTTTTGAACTGGTACGTCGAAGAAATCCAGCTGTCGCTGGATCAAAAACTACGAGGTACACAGACACAGCTGTCGCTGGCGAAGCTGCAGCATATGCCATTGGTCTGGTCATGGTGGGCTGCCAAAAGACCAGATTGTCTTCATTCTCGCCAAGTTTGTTCAGTCTTATCATTGGTCAGTGAAGATAGTGTGGCCTTTCTTGACCTAGAGCTGAAGCACGTACTGTAAAGTTTTAGGTTGGATCTGCATCGCAGAAGGCCATTGACGAGTCAAGTGCTAAGAGACTTCAGTATTTTATACTGTACCTATATTTTTGCTTGACATGTTCTTGCCATGGCATCCCAGCTTTTGATTGCGTGGAACACACTCCCCCAGCTTTTTGATGCCTTGCTGTTGTGCTCAAACAGGTTCTACGGTCTAACTAGGTCTGTCGTTTCAGCTTGCAGCCATGGCTGGCATGCTGCTGTACGTTCTATGGGTTCTGCCCTCAGGAGATGCTGAGATCATGTCAGTAGCACCCATTAAAGTCACAACACACATGCGCGCACGCGCGCACACAAACACAGAGACAAGCCGGAAGCCATGTTCAGGTTCCCTAAGAATCTGGAAGCCAAGTCTGGTAGCCAATCTGGAAGGCACTAGTAACTAGTAGCTTGCCTTCTACCTTTTCCCTCATCCCCCCGCTTTAGCGGCCTACCTCCGCCAAAAGAAGATGTTATCTAAGCTATCTCTCATACTATCTGAAGCCACCTGTGACACGCTGGGTCTATTTCAGTTGGCGCTGGCGCAAGCGCGTCTCTTCAGGTGCTGCCAACAGCAGCCACTCGTGCACCTCCATTGTTGCTCGGACATGACCCATGCCACTCGTGGCTCCAAAAAAGAAACGGAGACCATTTTGTTGTTTTCGACCGACCGAGCTTTTGAGACCACTCATTCCTTCAGCCTTTGGGAGGCCCGGTGTCCGACGGTGTCCCTCGACAGGGACCGCCCGAAAGGCGGTCCGAGGGAAACACCACCTCCGACCTTGACGCCCAGGCCTTGCACCGATTCGGTGGTTCCGAGCCTTTCGGAGGACCCGGAAAGGGGGGTTGGGGTGGCGGACGGGGGCGGGGGCGGCGCAGACGGCTTGGGGCCGTGTCCGAGGGTTTCGGCACGGAGCCATGTCTTCAACGGTGTTTTGGGGCAGTTGCATTGGACCTTGATGGTGTTGAGCATGCAGCAATGCTTTTTGTGATGGTGTTCAAGGGGTCGAATCTACTGTTAGTAAGGGTCCACGCGTTGGTCGCTTTCGGCGCTTTCGCCACAATGGCATACCTTTTTTTAAGGACTGCGAATCAGAACTTGTCTTACAACAATCGCAGAACAATCTTTTTCAAGCGGACATCTTGACGCACAACGTTTCCACTGCTTTCAGCATTTATTGAGCCACCTTCATGATTCATGAAACGAAGATGAAGATGACGCTTATGAAGCGAAGATGAAGTTCATGAAACAAAGATAAAGATCAAGATGCAGAGCATAAAGCTGGGATGACATTCTAATCAGGATCACGTTCCCCTGCGAATTGCACATTTCAGAAACGGTGATGTGCGCGAAGCGCGTGAAAAGACACCAACATGAAGATCAAGTGATTGAAGGGAAGATCAAATGCTGACGTTGATGATCCAATCGGACGTCATGACCCCCCACCCAACCCCCAATTCTTGCGGGAAAAGAACATCATGACTATTGTGTGGTCAGCGGCACATAAAACAATGTTACATCAGTAGAAGGTCCCAAAATGCAAAACAAACACAGGGGCCCATAGCACTTTTTCTTTGCGGACGAGTTGTATGGAGCCTCCGACTCCTTCCTTCAGGAAGATCACAAGCACCGCTTTTTCATGCTAGATGAGATACATGATGCTTCAGGCTGGTAGATTGCTGTCAGTAAAATAATATGACCTTGTGTGACTACAACGTTACTTCTAGCTTTCGACCACAACAGAGATTCAGAAATTGGATAGATCAGAAACTGAAGTGACAGATGAATTGTGCCAAACCTGAAGCTGCTGTTCAACAGAGCTGCAGTTCAAAGTTGGTGGAGATTGGCAGGTACCACTTGCTTTGAAGCCCTGAAGAATATGAAAGCGGTCACAGACAGCCTGGGGTACATGCCACGGTCCTAGTCGAAACCACCTCCTGAAGCATGGCGGCGCCACCCCTTTTGAGCCCAAAAAGTGGCTTCGCACGGAACCGGGCCGCTTGAGGCCCGATGGGCCTTGGACCCAGTGCTTGGAGAAGGCCGTGAAGTATGAGAGCACCAACAAGGCTCAGCACTTCGCACGGGCGGTTCAGCACGGTGCGGCCCACGGGGCTCGCTCCGTCGTCAGGACTGGAGGCGGGATCGTCGCTACCAAAGCCGAACAAGGACCCCGCAAGGACCAGCCGGTGAAGAGCTCAAAGGCAACAAAGAAGTAATCGTGGTCTCCAAATAGATAATGACACTTGTCTTTTTTGTGGGGATAAACCTTTCTATTTATTTAGGGGTCTGTACACTGTGTTTGTGTCGCTGCAGATTCTTTGCCATGCATTCCCCGTTGGCTTTCACGTGATCTTGATGAGGTCAGGTGGTGGAGCTTTTTGCGGAGAGAGTCGTGGAGGCTCAAATCCACCTGGAAGACTGCCTCAGCAACATCGAGGCGTTTTGCATTGAACATGAGTCGTGCATCAATGAAAACCACTCTGACAAGTGAGGACTTTCGTTGCTACTGCATGAAATGAAGTAGCCTTGAAGTGTGCAATGCGTTGTTGTTCAACCAAAAGCTCCTGACTTGCTTTGCACTTGCTCTTCTGGCAGGACAGCCATCAGCAGCCAGCAGCACAGCGCATCAAGAAGCTGGCGTCATCCCTGCAGGAGACAGCCTTAGGAGGATAACTTCTTTATATATCTGGAACAGGTCCTAATTTCTAGGAGGGATGCTTGTGCACATTGCCTGCGCTTTTTGCTTGGTTGAAGAATGCAACATTCATTTTGTTTCGTGCTTAATTTAAATTGTTTCCCTAGAATAAAGGTTCAAGCATAATGTGATCACTTGTTAGGAGCTGATGATCCCTGCGCGGATGTGAGACGAGAAGTGATTGATACGATCCCAGATCTAGCTGCTAGCTAGACTTGCATTCGACTGCACAGCGTGGAGTCAGAGTTTGGAAGGAAGGGCATTGTTGTTTCACAGCAATTCGACAGCCCTGAGCTTGTGAGATGTGCCACCAGAGGCAGTCTGTGTCCCTTGCTTTCAGCCTCCTGAATGCATGAGCTGGACCAAGCTCAATGGACGGTTTGCGCAGCAGAACAAAGTCACCCTTGACACGTGGCTTATTCCGTTTCGTCTGTCAGTTCCTCCATCATCCTTTGCCATCCTTTGCCCTCCTTGCACTGTCGTACGCGACTAGTAGATCTCACGCAGCAAGGCTTCGGGCATATGCCCACGACACGCAGCACGAGAAGATCATCCGCGCTTGTGTCTTCGCCCCAGCGAGTCGACCAAGGTGACCCGTCGCCCAAAGGCGACAGCTGTCTTCCTTCGCCCATGGTTAGCTCGTCACCGAGGCCCTTGCATTGGCGATGATGATGTTCCGAAAGGAGGAAGAGGCGGAGCCCTTGATCCAGTTCGATACTCGGGATAGACCCAAGCCCGTGGAAGGCGGAACAAGGGGCCGAAACGTACTGGCGTCGCGGCTAAGGGAGATGCTCTTGGACAAGGACGCGATTCTTCGCTATGGTGGGTGCTTCGCTATTGCTCTTGCCTACGCTAGGAGCTTGGTTAGCATCAAGTGTGCCATCCCTTGCCTCGTATTTGTCTTGCATTGCAGGTGGGCACCTCGCAGAACGCAGCCATCCGAAAGCTTTTGCACATTTCCGCCGGGCACTAAAGCTCTCGAGCTCCATTCTCCGAGAGCTTTGTGCAAAAGACATCTGTTTTGAGGTGTCAGATGTCTCAGACGATGTGCGCCGAGCTGCAGTCATGGCGTGCATGTCTCAGAGCAAAAGTTGAGAGCTGCCGTGAACGTTGGGTGAAACACCCGCTGTCTCAGCGTGTTGGTTCTTTGGCTGAGTGGGAGCAGCCAGATTTTGTTCAAAGAAGTAGCTAGATTTGCTGTTGAGTCGCACCTCTGTGCCACACCTAGGTTAGGCTTTGTGATGTGCAACGTGCCAGAGCAACTTCCTGGTGTAGTGAAGTTACTAGCAGAGAGTCGATCGCCCAGCCAGAGTTGACGTCAGCCCTAATCACGAGCATTTTTCCAATCCATTCTCAATCGTGAGCATCCGATGACTGCAGGCTACAATCCACACGTACGCTATGCCGCAGCTATGGCACTTGGAATTGCTTGTGCTGGCACAGCACTGCTTGAGGCGTCACTGAAGAAAGCCTCGAGTTCGCTCGATTAGCAGGATGGCGAATGTTATTCTTGGAGCTGTTTCTCTTCAACACAACAAGGTTTGTTCAGTCTCCTTGTGTTGGGGTGGAAGGTTGGAAGGTGCGGGTGTGACATTTGATCCGGCGAAAGGGTTGTTGGAAGATGCGGCGAAGGTCTACCAACTTCTAGCAAGACCCCGTGAATGAAGAAACTGAAGCAGGAGAAAAGGCAAACGCCAAAATTGACAGATGTCAGAGATTATAGACGCACAACGCACAGCAGTTCATCCACTAGACTGGCAATGGCGCCCTGCTTTGGAAGGTTAGGCTTGTGACAGTTGGGTGAACCTGGGGTTCAAGTTCGGACACGACTAGGAGCATAGAGTATGCGAGAAGTCCAGATATGTCCAGATCACATTCGATAGTCCTGCGTTTAAAGGGGTGTGGTTCACGCACGGAGATCCACTGGAGCTTTGGATTTGATTGGACCTGCTTGGGACTTCTCATATGGCTGTGGGTGAAAACCGGGCAATCCTGGTTGACCACGGAAAATGAGCAGAATGGATTGCTCAGGTGGTCAACCTACCAGGGATTATATAGGGCATCGGTCTTGCGCAGCATGTTCGGCGCTTCTTACGCGTCCCTTGCCCTCTGTGCGGGTGCGGTAAGAGTGGGGTAGTCGTGTTGTTGACTAACAGAACGGAAAGAAACTAGTGGTGAATCAACCACGCGGTATCTCGCGAAGTAGCAGCAGCAACTCTTTTACACAGACGGCATATCTAGAAGGGCCCTGTAGGAATGGGCACCCCAGAAAAATCACGGTTAGCTCTCCAAAGCGACGAACTCTATAACTAAAATAGCATCTCCGTTTGAACGGAATTTCTTCAAGAGTTTCATGATCAAACATCTGCACTTGGAGCGGCAGGTGAAATGGTCGGTTAGAGTGAAAAGGGGAATCGCATTCGAGATCAATGTAGGTCTGACGGTCTGAAGTGCTTGCATAGTTTCCACGAGATTGGGAAGGTTAGGGCGGCATGCGGGTCCTGAGACGTGCTTAACTCCAAACCAGAAGGGCCCGAAGGGCTACGGCAATTGGATTTCGCAAAAGCTGAAACGAGCGTTTGGCGACTTAAAGTTTGAAGTGTTTGCACTATATTGTAGAGTCGTAGAGTGTGTCCGCTTGTAACCGCAAGCACTGCTGGGTGGGTGGAAGTAACTGGATTTTGTCTGAGTCAATCGGAAATGCTTCTGTGCGGCCTATTCCCGGAAGATGGATCGGGAGGGACAGTCCTGTGGCCAACATCAAGGACATTGCTAACCTGGGATTAGGGCTCTGTCTTTGCTGCCATGTTATTCGCCCGCCGTTTTTGTGCGCGCGCGTTTTCAAGGCGCACAATCTTCTGCAGCCACTCATGTCTGATCCTTCGGACTTTGTCAGGTGGGTGGTGGCTTTCATTTTTTTGATTCAGCAGAAAGCAATCCATTCAGAACATGTTTGTGTGTGTATACACTACGTAATTACTGTATGGTGTAAAATACAGTGTGTAAGTGTACAGTATGAATATTCGTAAGAGCGAGCGCAGCCTGGCAGGCAAGGAGCTATCATTGTCACCTGCTTACTTGAGAGGAGTTTTGGTTCAAGAAAGATTTAACAGTAATGGAACGCCAAAGAAAGGGACCACACTTCCAGGACGCTAACACTGCCAATGGCCTAGGCCATGGGCTTGCTCTACATGCAGACTTCTCCGGGAAAGACGGAGCGTGTGAAGGTCCTGTTCCCATTGAAGAAGCGCAGGGTGGACAAGCAAGTTCAGTTGCTTTTGTGTGAGGAATTCAGGGACAAGCTGCAGAAAGTCATTGGAGACAAGCACGAGGATGTCCCAAAGCCAAGCATGAACTACCAAGTTTGTCCCAGAGTCCCAAGTCAGTTCACCTGTAACTTGTTACTACTAGCTTCTTGCTACTAGTAGCGATGCACCTTTTCCTAGTAGCGATGGTCCTGGCATGTTCTTTTTGAGGTCATGACTCGCTTTGGAGCGATTCTGGCCCATGGAATCATGGATGTCTGGAAGCTTGGGAATCAGAGAGAGAAATGAAACACAGCAAAGTTGCTCCAGATTTGGTCGAACTCAGAAGAAACAAGACAAGAGAGTTTATATATACATATTTATACACATCATTCACAAAAGAGGCTGGTGGGCGAAATTCCTGCGCATCACTCTTCTCCAAGTCCGGGGCTTCCACCTCAGCACTCGACGTTTGAGCCGACTGCCCTGTCGGGACATCGACGTCCGCAGCACGTGACGGTCAGGTGCTGCGCCGTGGTGCGGCCATCGGATTCTGTTTGTTCACGCAGATGTGGTACTGGACGCAAACTCAGAGACATAGATGATGTGACATACGTGGAAAATCACATGTTTCCAATTTGAGCACACATTACAGCATCCTGAAATGGGCAGCGGTTTGGAGAATGCACAGTCAGTTGTCAAGGTTCCCTCTGATCCACATGTTCTCGCTCACCTTGACACCAACAGCATTGATTGGTCAAAGCCTTGGATTTTCCTCAGACTATGCAGGCAGCCGCTGCACATTGAAGACTGTTCTGCGACTAAGGCATCACGGATAAGCTGAAGATTCCCAAGAACTTTTCAGTGCCATGCTGAAGATTCTGAAGTAGGAGGGATTTCTGGTAGCTGCTTTGTGTGGCAAAAAGACATGGCACAGCATGCAAACAAGGTCAAAAGCGGGGCACGGCCTTCAATTTTTGCGTCGCACCCTGAGAGTGCTTATCTCCTGGATGGGAGCGACAGTGTGGCCCTAAAACATGGAATTCCCATTGTGGGCCGCTCTCGCACAAGGGTTTGACCGTCTTGGCATCCGCAGAGTGAATGTGCCTTTGGTAGGTATCCTGAGCCCTTGCAGCCTCCAAAGAAGGAGGAGACCGCCAAAGCGGCCACTGCGGTGCCTTCCAATTGCGTCCAAGTGTGATTGGTTCATGTCGTCTTTGTATTGACCATACTAGCCTTTCAGTCACCGACCATCACTGAATCTGGTCCATCCGCAAGACCTAAGGTGCTCTCGACCGCTGCCAAAGCAAAGCAGTTGAAGGAAAAGAAGGACCAACAATCGATCGTCAGTTGCAAAAACCGTTCGCCCAAGATACCCGAGCTGAGCATTTTTCAAACACCCACAGGAGAAGGAGGCCAATGAGCTCAAGAAGGCGTGCAGCTCCTTTGAGGCTTCAGGAGAGGTGTAGCCTGTTAGGTCCCCTCGGCGGCTTAATTTATCGTTCTCAGGTGGTCATTGTTGTTGATCTACTTTGATAAGATTTCGTTGCTTGTAGTTTGGGCCACTCATCACTGTTTAGGCCTCTTCCAGTGCTGACGTGGACATGGATGACAAGGTCGGGCAAGAGTCATTTGGGGCAGATCTTTAGAAGTGACACCAGATGTTAAGTTCATGTATGTATGTGGATCACTTTTGTACTGAATGGAAAGTCTCTGAGTGATGGTGACATGGTGCCGCGGCTGCACATGAACACATGATTTTGTGAGAGACATCGGTTGCAAGAAGACTAAAGGTCCGTAGGCGTGGCAAAGGAGATTTGAGGGACTCGATTTGCGGGCAGCTTGAGAAACAAGCTGGTCTGACAGCATCAAAATCACTTGTGAGACTTGTGAGCTTCATTTTTGCATTTTTTTCTTATCCTTTTTCTTCATGGTCTCCGGAGCTCCCTGGATGGCGTGGGGCGCCGGAGCTCCCTGGCTCCAGGCCTCGATTGGTGGCTCGGTCGCTGAAGGCGCAGCCAGTTCAGTGCGAGGAGCCGACATCGAAGCTTGGCGGATTTCGCTGATTCGCGGTGTGGGGACTGGGGATTGAGTTTCAAGTCCTGGTTTTTTGGGGGGCAGTTTCCAGAAAAAGGAGGCTCGCTATATGGTAGAATGGATTCGGAGCGAACATGGAGTTTTGGTGCCCGAAGACTCAAGACTTTTCGCTGGACTTGACCGTGTTGCTTTGTGCACCACCCAGACGCTCCAAACAGCCCTGGGTCCCTCAAAACCTAGGAATTTGAGACCCCAGACCCCTCCATATGAGGGTCCATGAGCGTCTGGGCAGTATCTTGGTTTGCTAATGTTTACTCAGGTCTCGGTGGCAGCTACACCTGGTGCTTGACTCAGCTCTCACGAGCTCTATTTTTAGAGCATTTTTTTTCCATGTCATGTGGAACTTTGCTTCGCGTGTTAATCCCATAACTTCCAAAAAAGCCTCTGGAAAGGACGCCATGCTCTCAACCTCTTCAGCGTTTGAACCGCGTAACCCGCATCTGAACCCGCACGACGCGGAGACGTTAGACCTCGAGGCACCACAGTGGTGGGCTCTGCGGCCACCGAGTCGGTGGCGGCCAGCGACCTGGGGAGCGAGATGATGGAGGCCGCTGGGGGCGGGGCGGCCGCGGACGTGACGGCGACAGTGGGCGAGGTGACAGGGCAATGACTTGGGAGCAAGTTTGTCGGGGCAAGTTCTGGGGCACATCCCGGAGCTCCGGTCCAAGCTTCGCAGCAGTTTTGCATATATGACTTTATGCTGACATTGTCATGGTGTCATGCTGATATGTTTTCAATCCATCAGGCTACCACACATGCTGTCATCTGAGGTGTTGATCTTGCTGACACTTAGCACTTCGTCATGCTCACATGCTGAGGTGTTGCCGATATGCTGACACGGTGTCATGAGGGCATGTTGTAGCGTGGTTAGCGTATGGGGGCATGTGGACACGCTAACATGTTCTATATGCTGGCTGTCATTCTCAGGCTGTGGTGCCGATGTTGTCATGCTGGCACACTGACATGGATCACCCTAGCATGGCGACTCTTGTTGCACTGGAGTGCTGACGTCGGGTCATGCAGTCGTGCTGACATGCTGGCAGGCTCCAGAGCGGGATCCGGAGCAGGTTCCATGGCTCTCTTGCTTGTTGCACAGCTGTCATGCTTGCACATATGTGGGCACGTGCATTGCCATGTGGTGATGCTTGGATGGAACATTGCAAAAAACCACGTGTTTCAAAGCAGCATTGTTTGGCAAAGACATGGCGCTTGCCAGTGAACTTTCGATGTTGCATTCCGAAAAAGGCGAATTCATCCCGACGATTGGGGATTATATATATATATGTAGTTACGGTCTTCGCCTTGGGCATATTCTTGCGGTTTGGGCTGAGAAGGGGGCTCAAAGAGTAAAGAGTGGGTCTGGGTTGTGGTCGGTTGACATGCGGTTCATTCGGTGGTGGATTGGGTCTATACTATGAGGCAACTCCATATATTTGAGTGAGTAAAAGGGTGAGAAAAGTAGAGATTTGTCTCATGGGCCTAATTGACTAAGGAGGTAAATAAGCACATCCCACCCTCCCACCAGCCATCAGTGCCACTTCGATGAGAATCACGCTGTCACCAAAATGTACGACTAACTTGCCATGCCAGCCACTTTCATACGAATGAGATCTATTGAGTCAGAATGTAAATAATAGATCCCGCTTCACCACGTAGGTCACATCAACAGCAGCAAGGCACAGAAGCAACATCTACCAGCGACGAGAACCTTTGTGCACACTACGACGGACCAATTCCCCATTGAAACCAGATTTGCCAACGATTGCATGCTTGGCGAAATCAAGCAGTTGTACCACTTTGCTTTCCCTACCTTTCACCACCTTCTCAAGCTTTCGTCTCCTTTCCTTTGGGAAAGCCACAGCCTGCAGGTTGATGAGCAGGCCGTGGCAACAGAGAAGGTGAAGGAGACTTTGTGTGACGCTGAAAGTTCGATGCTTTGTCATGTTTAGTCACTCGAAATTCGCTCGTTCAAACACAGCCCCTTCTGCTGATGCCAAGCGGCCAAGCAGGAACCCAAGATTGAAGAGAATAAGGCTGAGGCCTTGGACCGTGGTTGATACTCCGCAGCTCGAAGCTCCAGCTTGAGAGCTCGAATTTCCAGGCCGCTCCAGAGCAGAAGGAGGAGAAGAAGGTTCCACGCATTTTTCTGCACAACGACTAGCTGGGGTCAACGAATGTATGGAGAAAGAACATGCAGAGTCCTGCCATGTTGCAATGAATAGCATGGCTACAGCCGAACCTGAGTTTCTTGGAAAAGCATTACAATAGCTTTGGACGGGACCATGCTTTTCATGCAGGAAGAGAAGAAAGAAGAACCTGAGCCCACTGAAGAAATCCTCAGCAATCCGTGCCGAGCTACTTGGCAGCACAAAGTGGCTTGTTGCACTGTTTGTGCCGTTGACAGCATTGTTGAACACAACCCAGGTACTAAAAGGGCAGGTGCAGTACATCTCTTTTCCCAAGGCCGGGGGTCTCTTCAGGATGCATGAAAGGAACCTTGTGCTACCTGCTTCCTTTAGCTTCCAAAAGCATTTGCACTTGATGTGGCTTTTCGCCTTTTCCATTGCTAATGCAATCAGTGTCCACAATTTGTGTGTGCACCGGTTTCACTGACGACAGCTCGTTCACTAGTTACACCGACGACACTGATTACACCAACGGCACCGGATGCACCAACGGCGCCAAGTGCACCGAGCACCAGTGTGTCCAGCGTATTCAGCGTCACCAGCGTAATCAGCGTGACCAGCGGAACCAGCGCAACCAACGCAACCAGCGCGATCACTGCCGCCAGCCAGCGTACCAGCCCACGACAATGTTTTTGCACGCCACTGGCGCGACAAGGACAGTAGACGCAACTAGTAAAGAAGACTTCTACACACCTCCGCTTCTGTAAAAGTTCCTGACAGTACGATCGGCGTCACGTTTTCAGCGTCACCAGCGCAGTCATCGTCGCAAGCGCACCCGTGTGTAACCAGTGTCACCAGCGTAATCACCGCAGTCAGGGTGACTGCCAGCATGCTACTTGTAGTGTCCCAGCGCACGACCCTTCGCGGACCACGTCGCTCGACTTTTCGCCCTCTACGTCGTTCGGGGCCCGGATGAAAGGCTCTCCACCAGTGAACTCAACATGGTGCACCTTCTCTGTGAACCGTCGGCGGTTAACAACCAGAGCAAGCAATCAAACATTGTCAATACAGCCACCAATATGATGCGTTACTATAAACAACAACGGACAGGAAGAACAACTGCAGCTGCAACAGCAATGGCAACAACCAACAACACCAGGTTTCAAAGGCAGCAGCAGCAACAACAAGTCACTTAAACAAATGAATCTTTTCCGCATCAAGATGCCACAACCAATACAAACAGCCATGATAGCAACGAGAAGCGTCCCGATCACGGACATCCATGTGTTGCCGTTCCTTGGCTTCGCCCTTCTCAGTCCTCTCATCTCATCGCGTCTCGTGGCTCAACAGGAGATTGACGGCCAGCCAGTGCGGTATACGACCGGTCCTTAGACGGTGACGGTGGATGTTTTCACGCAAGCTCGGCGGCTGGGTGGTGACAGCCATTGACCATATGACTTTGAACTGGCCATTGCTGAGGCCTCTCCTGGAAAGCAGGAAGCAAGGCTTCCTTTTGCTTCGAGACCTTCGGCCAGAGGAGCCAGAGGACCAGCTTGCTTTGCTTCTTCACGAGCTGAGGAAGTTTCTGGAGCTGTGTGTTTAGACTATTAGAGTCTTTAGTCAGTGCACTAGCCATATCTTTATCACCCTGCCCTGACAAAGTAGACATACCAGCTGTTCTAGAGCTCTCCTTCTCTTCTCGAAGTTGTAGCTTCAGTCTTGGGTTGTGGTTTCCTTCCAGCCCGAGCTGGCTTATATTATAGGTTTCTTGTGCAGGAAGCATCACATACTGCTGCTGCAAAAAGCAAATATTGTTTGATGCGTAGTGTATTTGCATGTTCGGCTGGTTTCTATTATCTTGTACTTTTGGTGGAGTGTTCTGTTTCACCTATTTCTTTCACCGCTCTGCAAGCTCTGTAATTCCCTGTCTTCATTGTTCATTTCTTCCTCATTCCGCGTGGCTGTTGGGAGCCCATTTGTGCTCGCGGGAAAAACACAAAAACTGCTGCAAAATAACTTGTCTCCCTAGATATAAAATATATACCTCTGAAACTATCGGTTTCATAGCCTTCGCCCATGCTATACGGACAGTCCGTGCTGCCAGTGTGATGTCTGCAGAAGGTGGAGATCCTCTTTCATGAAACCGGGAAAAGCATGCCGTGCCGTCGGTGCTTCTTTTCTGCTCAACTTCTCTGAGGTTTTGGTGCGTTGCAAACGTGCAAATAAAAAACCTCCGACTTCAGCAGAGCTTGCGTGTGCGAAGGTGATTTTGAGTGTCAGGACCTGGTTTTGGAGAATGAGAAGAAGGAAGAAACCGAGGAGAAAAAGGAAGAGAGCGAGAAGGCCTTGTCATTGAATGGTGACAGGCGACGCTGTGCGGCGACTGTCTCATATCTCGTTGCAGGCGCCCGATCCTCCAGCCACAACTGCAGACGAATGAGCAGCGCTGCAGCACCAAATTCTTTGGTCACCTCATTCTCTCCTCAAGGCATTTTGCCGTGTAGCATTGGTTTTGGAACGTGAGATTGTTTGAGATCAAGTCTTCTCCACCAAGTGCAAGCCAACAAACTTTGACGCATCCAACGTTTTGTGAGGGAGCGAGGCTGGCATCATAGCTTTCCAAGACTGACTTCGAACCTGCAAGGATGTCTAGTGCCAGAGGAACGACACTTCCAAGATCTATGGTTCCAATGTTGGCTGATACGACTTACACAAGTCGGCCTTGCGGGGACAGCCTCAGGATGAGGCTTCGTCTCTGTATTTCGATGCCTGGACAGAAAGAATCTGATGCAAAGATCAAAAGAGTTGCTTTTGGTCAATGTCTCAATCATGACACGAGTGTTATTTCGTTGATAGAATTGGATCTGCCTTCTTCCAAGCTCTTCCAAGCAGAATTCAGAGTCGTCCATGCCAGGAGCTGACTCTTTGGGCCTGGCTACATCCCTCAATGAAGGCAGCAACATGTGACATGTGAGGGAAAGCTGGTGTCACTCACTTCCCTTCTTGTACCACGTAATGAATGGACCAAATGAAATGACATGATATGAATTGTTTGGGTCAGCCCTGGCCCACCGGTTGGGTCAGAAGGATGCTATCAGTGACTTTATCTTGTGGAGATGGCTGAGCCTCATTTCTGAGGCGCCTGGCGGTTTTGCGTTCGATTCCAAGGTGCCTCGTATGCCAGTTGGATTGAGATTGCGCATGGACGCCTTGGTTTTGAGAAGATTTGCCACGAACTTGCAGGCGCATCCCTTCAAGATTTCTCCGGGCATGACGGTAGTTGACCTCATGGATGAGATGGAATTAGCAGGGTTCACAGTCCATGCAATGTAGCTTTGCTTGGATCGACTTCCACATGCTTAGGAGTACGAGAAAGCTAGCGGGGAGACTTTGGAGCTTCAGGCCGATTTCTTTCAGTGGCTTCTGGTTAAGCTCGTTAAGGGCTGCTTTACCAATGTGGTATCCCATGGTCCGAGCTCAAGCCATTCACAAATGATTTGATTGATGTCAACCTCGGGTGTGTGGGCTCTTCGAGTCCTTTAAGCACCTGCGTGCCTGCTAGATCAGCCGTTTTCCTGTTTTTGTCCGACAGATTGAATCCAGGTCTTTGAGAGTTTTGAAGGATCTTTTTCATGGATTCTTCGGCTCTGCTGTTTGTTGCCCGCATGGACCAGTGGAAAGGTCTTGAGCACAATCAGTATGATTCATCAGCCCGGAACCTCTCTGCTACAAACCATTTGTTTCTGTGCAGATCAATGTCCTCTGGAACACGAAGGACGCATCAGATGCGGGGCACGTGAAACGCGACCAGCATGAGCCAGTCGATCCGCAAACCCAGCTTGCTAGGTATGCGTTTTTGGTCTGTGCAACAACAGGCTAGCTCTATTGCTGCTTCGCGCTGCCCGGAGTTTTGCAGGACCCCAAGAAAGCTTTGAATCCCACGGAGAAGGTGTGAAGATGGCAGTGTTGCACTTCAAACTTTTAACTAAACTGAACAAGACATTACATGCTTTCTGCAGTTTGTTCATTCATGGGGATTCACGTCGCTTCGCGACGGTAACCGCCCGCACCGCATGGAAGGGGCCAATATTTCCACCGAACATAGCCCCGGAAGTGCCCCCCCCCTCCCCAACGTGGCCGAGCATAGATTCCATGTTTCGAGATAGGGATTTAACATGGCCCAACGTGTCAGGCAATATGAAAGCTATGTTTGGCCACGTTAGGGGGTGTTTTTTATTCCAGTTTACGACGTTCAAGTCCCTATCTCGCAGACACTACCTTTAGATAGTGACTTCTAGGGCTATGTTAGGCAATATCTTCACTC